CAAGGCTCGTTATGTTGCTCGAGGATTTAGTCAGCGACAGGGAGTTGACTTCTTCCAGACCTTCTCCCCTACCCCGAAGATGACCACTGTTCGTGTGCTGCTGCAGGTTGCCGCTCAGGGTGACTACGAGCTTCACTCTCTTGACTTCAGCACAACTTTCTTTCAGGGCAGCCTGCACGAGGAGATATGGCTGCGGCACCCATGTGGCTTCACTGGGTCGTTTCCTACAGGTACCGAGTAGAGCCTCCGGCGGCCAGTCTACGACTCCGCCAGGAGCCTCACGAGTGGCACGACACATTGAGGACGACGCTTGCAGCTCTTGGGTTTGCTCCTTCGACTGCTGATCCGTCGCTGTTTCTGCGCACCGACACTTCGCTGCCGCGGCTCTTCATCCTCGTGTACGTTGACGACATGATTTTTGCCACTGCTAACACTGAGGCACTGGCGCTAATGAAGTCGGAGCTACAGAAGAGACACCTGTGCACAGACCTTGGTGAGCTGCGCAGCTATCTTGGCTTGCAGATCATCCGGGCCAGAGCACGGCGCACCATCACCTTGACTCGGTCACAGATGGTGTACCAAGTCCTTTAGCGCTTCCTGCTTCGAGTTCTCCTCGCCACAGTCCACTCCTCTGCCTACCGATCGCTCGCTCTCAGCACCACAGTCAGATGAGTGCGTAGAGCCAAGTGGCCCGTATCCAGAGCTTGTGGGCTGCCTTATGTACGTGATGACATGCACGCGACCTGACCTTGCCTACCCTCTTAGCATCCCGGCACGCTACGTTGCTCCCGGGAGACACCGACCAGAGCACTGGAAGGCTGCTAATAGGGTGTTGCACTACTTGTGCAGTATGTCGGGCATTGGGCTCATGCCTGGAGGACGCGGTCGGGTTGTTCTCACTGACCACGCAGACGCATCTTGGGTTGACGACTTGGCTACACAGCGGTTACACCTTCAGCCTTGGCTCCGGTTCTGTTTCTTGGCGGTATGCCTGCTCGTATTCTTTTCTCAGTTCTAGTTGTGAGGCTGAGATCTACGCCGGGGTCATGGCTGCACAGGAGTTACACTGGCTCACCTACCTTCTGGCCGACTTGGTAGAGCGGCCTAGTTCTCCTCTAGTTCTGTACGTAGACAACAAGGCCGTGATTGCCTTGTGTCAGGAGCACAGATTGGAGCACAGGACGAAGCACATTGCTCTGCGTTTCCGTACTTGCTCAAGAGTTGCAGCAGCGTGGTCATCTTCGTCTTGTTTACATGGCCACTTGGGCCAACACTGCTGATATATTCACCAAGGCTCTTCAGTCTGGTGATCATCAGCGATTCTGTACTGTTTTAGGCATTGTGCCTACTTTGCCTCACTTGCTCACTTCGTGAGTTTGCTTGTACTATGATCTATATACTTATACCTGCATGCTTATACTTTCTAGGTTGTGATCACTGTACTGCTTGTCCTCTCTTATATAACTCTTCATGTGGACAGGCCTTGTGGCCATTTGCTTGTGCTCAGAGTGTGTGGTGACTTCATAGTCGACGTTGAGCTTGCTTTGCTTTTCTTGACTGGTCTTGTGACCCCTTGTTCTCCCCCACTTTTTCTATGGGGCTGTGTCAAACTATTATATTGTTTATGTTGTGTAGGCTTTAGTGGGGTAACATATAAGGGGTACAACCCAATTGAGGTTAGTACTTGTACCAACTTCCTACTCAATGCATTCATTCTTCCTTAGTCTTCTGACAGTTGGGAAGTAGAGGAATAAATTTCTTAGTTCAAAATCGAATGGTTTTGGTAAAAACTGGCAAGCATTACATACCGTACCGTCATACCCCGGATATAAGCGCCACCCTCGGATAAGCGTGTGGCGCTTTTAATTGGCGCATGGCGCTTATATCCGCTGCTCGATTAGAAGCGCACCCCTTGAAAAAACTTGTTTTATTATAAGCGCATGTAAACCTTAAATTTTGAAATGTGTTCAAAACGCTGTAACGATTTTTACTTTAGCAGGCGGTGTCAGAATTATATATAACTGCATTCGGTTCTAGCTGTAGTGTAGTCATATATTTGTTCTTGCTTGGTGGTGCACCCTTCCTGAACTATAACTTGTACTTGTTTCTCATATTGCATCATTCCTCATCCTCGACTCTCCTCTCTTGGCACAAACCTCTCGACTCCCTCTTGGCCTAGGCTACTAAGCCTAGGCCCTAAACCTTAACTACCACACTTGTGCTACTATTCTCAACATTCTTGTTTATCAACATGCTATCAGAGCCTATTAAGTCCTGGCCTGTGGGCCAGCCTCTCGCTTCCGCTGCTGTATTTCCGGTCGCGCGCCTCGGGCGCGTGACGGTTTTTTTCTACCCGTCGCGGACCCGCCCCTGGCGCCCGCGACGGCGCCCTGAGCCGTTGCGGACCCGCCTCTGGCGCCTGCGGCGGTGCCCTTAGCCGTCGCGGACCCGCCTCTGGCGCCCGCGGCGGTGCCCTAAGCCGTTGCGGACCCGCCCCTGGCGCCCGCGGCGGTGCCCTGAGCTGCCGTGGACCCGCCCCTGGCGCCCGCGGCGGTACACTGAGCCGTCGCGGACCCGCCTCTGGCGCCTGCGGCGGTGCCCTGAGCCGTCGCGGACCCGCCCCTGGCGCCCGCGGCGGCGCCCTGCGCCATCGCGGACCCGCCCCTGGCGCCCGCGGCGGTGCCCTGAGCTACCGTGGACCCGCCCTTGGCGCCCGCGGCGGTGCCCTGAGCCGCCGCGCCCCTAGTGCCCGCGACGGTGCTCCTGCCTCACCCGTTCCTGCCCTCGTGCAGCTGCTCCTGCCTCACCCGCGCCTGCCCTCGTGCAGCCGCACCCGCGCCTGCCCTCGTGTAGCCGCCCCTGCCTCACTCGCGCCTGCCCTCGTGCAGCCGCCCCTGCCTCACCCGTGCCTGCCCTCGTGCAGTCGTGGGGGGGAGGGTATGGGGGCGGCGGGTGTGGGGTGATGTGTGGTTGCTTCCCTTCCCCTCCTCCTCCTTTCGTTCCCATTGCTGCTGCTGCCGCTGGGGGGGAGGGTGTGAGGGTGTGGGGGAGCCGGGGGAGTGGCACTGGGGTGGCGGGTGTGAGAGCAACCAGCAGCCGTCCCTCCACCTCTCCTCTCTTCCCCCCTCTGCTACTCCTGCAGCAGTGGGAGGGGGAGGGGGAGGGTGAGGGGATGGAGGTGTTGCCTGGTGTTGCTGTTTTCTCTGTCCGTGGTGTACCCCTGCAGGTTGTGTCTTTCACTTCGCTATTCCTGCATGCAGTTACGGGGGGATGTCAGAATTATATATAACTGCATTTGGTTCTGGCTGTAGTGTAGTCATATATTTGTTCTTGCTTGGTGGTGCACCCTTCCTGAACTATAACTTGTACTTGTTTCTCATATTGCATCATTCCTCATCCTCGACTCTCCTCTCTTGGCACAAACCTCTCGACTCCCTCTTGGCCTAGGCTACTAAGCCTAGGCCCTAAACCTTAACTACCACACTTGTGCTACTATTATCAACAGGCGGATGTGTTGTTGATTCTGTTCCCTTCACATTCGGACCCTGCACTGGATGCGGGCCCAGTCAGCAGGAGTTGTCAGGAGCTGGATGTGAGGCAGATTGGGTGTATTTCCCAGCGCGCGCGAGAATTTCACAGATGACCCCATATAACTTCTGTCAGAACATCATAGCTTATGCACTTTGTGTAGGCTGTAGTGGGGTAGCCCATGAGGGGTACAACCCAATTAGGGTTAGTACTTGTACCCAACTGTTTCATAGTTCAATCATTCTCATTCCAGTTTTCTCATGGTATCGAGCAGGTTCCCTCGTGGGAACTGTGTCAGAACATTTTAGCTTATGCTTTTGTGTAGGCTGTAGTGGGGTATCCCATAGGGGGTACAACCCAATTAGGATTAGTACTTTTACCCACTTGTTTCATGGTCATTCATTCTCGTTTCTTCTCATGGTATCGAGCAGGTTCCCTAGCGGGAACGATTCCTAGGGCCCACCACTACGACATTTTTTTTTCCTGCCCGGAGCGCGCTCCGCTCAGGCCCGAGTTGCGCCCCGGGTGCTCTCCCTATCGTCGCGTCGCCTTTAGCGGCCCTCTCACGGCCCGACGTGCCGCCCTTTACGGCCCGTCGCGCCGCCCTTTGCGGCCGTGTCGCGCCACCCTTTCGCGGCCCCGTCGCGCCGCCTCTATCGCGGCCCCGTCGTACCGCCCTCAGCGGCCCGTCGCCGCCCTCCACCTGCGGCCTCGTCGCCGCCCTTTCGGCGGCTTCGCCGCCTCCCCTCACGGCCCCGTCGCCTACCGCGGCCCCGTCGTCTACCTGGGGCCCCGTCGCCACCTGCGGCCCCGTCGCCTACCTGCGGCCCCGTCGCCACCTACGGGCCCGTCGCCTACCTACGGCCCCGTCGCCACCTGCGGCCCCGTCGCCACCTGCGGCCCCGTCGCCTACCTGCGGCCCCGTCACCACCTGCGGCCCCGTCGCCTACCTGCGGCCCCGTCGCCACCTGCGGCCCCGTCGCCTACCTGCGGCGTCGCCTACTCGCGGCCCCGTCGCCTACTCACGGCCCCGTCGCCTACTCGCGGCCCCGTCGCCTACCTACGGCCCCGGCGCCTACCTTCCCGGCCCCGTCGCCTACCTGTACGGCCCCGGCGCTGTCTCTGCCGACCCCAGCCACCGTCCCCACGCGACCCCGCCGTCACCGTCGAGCCGCCCGCTGCCTGAGCCGCCCGAGCCGCCCGAGCCGCCCGAGCCGCCTGAGCCGCCCGAGCCGCCCGAGCCGCCCAAGCTGCCCGAGCCGCCGAGTCGCCGAGCCGCAGTTGCTGCCGAGCCGCCGTACCGCCGAGCCGCCCGAGCCGCTGAGTAGCCGAGCCGCCCGAGCAGCCGAGTCGCCGAGCCGCCGAGCCGCCCGAGCCGCCTGAGCCGCCGAGCCGCCCTGTCCAGTAAGAGCAGCGCCTCTGTCACTGCACTGCCCTTACCCTACTGTTCGAGCTGCTAGTCTACTGCTGTCATGGCTACCCCTAGTGTCCTCACTTTTGACGCCGAGGGTCGGGCCATTGACTTTGACGTCTGGGTAGATGACCTGCAGCTTTTCCTACAGTGCGATAGGGCAGACGGTCTCTATCTCTTTGACCTCACCTCTGGTGCCTCTCCTGCCCCTGCTGCTGATGCTGACACCACTGTTCGCTCACAATGGGCCACGCGCGATGCTGCTGCACGTCTTGCGGTGCGTCGCCACCTGCCTACCTCTGAGCGTGCGCACTTTAGTCAGTACAAGAGTGCTCAGACCTTGTACGACGCTGTAGTTGCACGCTACTCCTCCCCTGCCATTGCTGCACTGAGCCGCCTCATGCTACCATACCTCTTCCCTGACCTTGCTGCCTTTCCCACAGTCTCTGACCTCATTACACACCTCCGCACTAGTGACACTCGCTACCGCGCTGCGCATCTTGCTGAGTTCTGCGCCAAGTACCCCCCCCCCATGTATATCACCCTCTACTACATAGTCACCCGGCTCCCTGACTCCCTTCGCGTAGTCAGGGACCACTTCCTCGTAGTGTGCCCCACCACTCTCACCGTTGACCTCCTTGAGAAGGCCCTCCTAGCAGCGGAGAAGAGCATAGTCGCTGTAGGAGCCTCTCGTGGTGACCCCCGCACCCCCGTCTTTGAGGGGTGTTCTCCCTCCCCCCTCTTGCCCTCTGTTGCTTCTACTGCTGCGGCCGACCTCGTTGGTTTTGAGTCGGTTGGCGCTGCGTCTGCCCCTTCGGGGAAGCGCCGCACAGGCAAGGGCAAGGGGGGCAAGGGCGCTGGAGGGGCTGGCGGGGGCGGTGGAGGCGGCGGTGGAGGCGGCGGAGGGGGTGGGGGTGGGAGTGGGAGTGGTAACGGGGGTGGGGGTGCCGATGGCAGCAGTGGAGGCGGAGGCGGCGGCGGTGGTGGCGGAGGGAGCGGAGGCGGCGGTGGTGGCGGAGGCGGCGGAGGTGGCAGAGGCGGCGGAGGTGGCGGTGGAGCTGGTCGCGGTTCTGCGCAGAGGAGTGGCTCCGGTGGTGGTCCGCGCCAGCAGCAGCAGCGCGGTCGTGAGACCCTGTCCCCTCAGCAGCTCCGTGAGTGGTACGCTGCACGCCAGCGGGGTGGGGGTACTGGTCCGTGCACCTACGTCCTGCGCACCGGCGACCGTGCGGGTGAGCAGTGTGGGGGTGCGCACCCCACCCAGCGCTGCTTTGGCCGCCTGACGGACGCGTGGCGTCACCAGTTTCCTGAGGCCACAGAGATCCCTCGCTGGGGCGAGCTGTCTAGGGCGGGGGTTGCTATTTTTGACCTTGACTTTGATGCTATTCTTGCTGCTATATATGCTGTGACTATTAGTGATGAGGGTGACTGTTACCGGTGTTTTCCGCCCGACCCGGGCGTTGAGACTGCTGCTCTAGGTGCTGGTGAGGCTGCTGCTCTTGGTGCTAGTGAGGCTGCTGCTCTAGGTGCTAGTGCGTCTACTTCCTCAGGTACTGGTGAGTCTGCTCCCTCAGGTACTGCGTCGGCTTCGGCCTCCCTCACCTTCACCCTTGACTACAGCGGGTGACTCACTGTACTGAGGCTCGTACGGGCCGACACTTGGCCACGTTTACACGTCAGCCGGGGTCGAGCCTGTACACACTGACCACTGCGTCTGGTCGGGTAGCTGCGTTGGGCCAGGTGTTTGCTGCAGCGTCCAGGTCTGGTCCTGAGTGTGCCCCCTGCTCGTGTCGTGTCCTGTCTCACGAGACTCTCCTCTGGCACCACCGCCTTGGTCAACCCTCCCATGCCTCGTCTCAGAGGCATGGCGGCCCGTCTCCTTGTCTCTGGTCTTCCCCGGTCCCTACCTCCCCTTCCCCCGGGGCCTGCCCCTGCCTGCGACCCCTGCGTCGAGGGGCGCCAGCGTGCTGCCCCTCACTCCTCCCAGTTTCCTCCGACGGAGGCCCCGCTGCAGACGCTTCACATGGACGTGTGGGGCCCAGCCCGCGTTCGTGGACAGGGTCACGAGCGCTACTTCCTGCTGGTGGTTGACGACTACTCGCGTTACACCACATTCTTCCCCTTGCGCAGCAAGGGTGATGTCACTGAGGTGCTGATCGACTGGATCCGCGCAGCTCGTCTCCACCTCAGGCAGAGCTTCAGCTCGGACTTTCCTGTTCTGCGTCTACACTCTGACAGAGGCGGAGAGTTCTCCTCTGGCCTTCTGCGAGCCTACTGTCGTGGACGAGGCATCCGCCAGACCTTCACGCTTCCGGACTCCCCATAGTAAAATGGGATTGCTGAGCACCGCATTGGCATGGTCATGGACGTCGCTCGTACGTCCATGATGCATGCGGCTGCCCCCCATTTTCTGTGGCCGTTTGCGGTTCGGTACGCGGCGCATCAGATCAACCTTCAGCCCAGGGTCTCCTTGCCGGAGACCTCCCCCGCCTGGCTGTGGACGCGGAAGGTTGGCGATGCGTCTGCGTTCCGTGTCTGGGGATCTCGGGCGTTTGTCCGCGACTTGTCTGCGGACAAGCTGTCCCCTCGTGCTGCTCCTTGCGTCTTCCTGGGGTTCCCCCCTGACGCGCCTGGTTGGCAGTTCTACCACCCCACCTCTCGCCGTGTTCTGTCCTCCCAGGACGTCACGTTTGACGAGTCGGTCCCCTACTACCGCCTCTTCCCCTACCGCACTCCGTCCCTTCCCCCGCCACCACTCTTCCTTGTGCCACGTCCCCCCCAGGTTGATCCCCTCCCCCTTCATGGTCCTGCCCCTTCAGGTGTGTCCCAGGTAGACACAGTCGAGCCTGTCGAGGTTGCTAGTGACTCTGGTGCTGCTGAGGGTGCTGAGCCTGGGGGTGCTGACTCTGAGGGTGCTGAGGCTGAGGGTACTGCTACTGGGGGTGCGAAGCCTGGGGGTGCTACGACTAGGGGTGCTGAGCTTGGGGGTGCTGAGCCTGGGGGTGCTACGCCTGGGGGTGCTGAGCCAGGGGGTGCTAAGACTGGGAGTGCTGAGCCTGGGGGTGCGGAGCTTTGGGGTGCGGAGCCTGGGGGTGCGGAGCGTGCGGGAGCTGTGCCTGCTCATGTCGCGTCTAGCGGTACTGTGCCTGGAGGTTCTCCGGTTGCTTCGTCTCGGCGGGAGCCACTCTCTCCACAGGATCTGCGCGAGTGGTTTGCCCGACGCTGGAGGCGTGCTGCTGGAGCTGGAGGTTCTTCGGCTACTAAGGGTGCTGCTATCGCGGGTCCAGGAGGTGCTCGTACTGGGAGTACTGGAGCTGCTGGGCTTTCGACTGTAGCTGGAGCTGCTGAGGGTGTTGTCGCTGAGACTCCTGCTGGGCGTGCTACTGGTGCTGCTTGCTGGTCCTGGAGCTACTGGAGCTGCTGCGGGTACTGGAGCTGGAGGTGCTGCTGGAGCTCGTGCTCCTGCTGGGGGTACTGGTGCTGTCCCTGCTGTGTCTGGAGTCACCGCGCTGCCTCGTCCGTACTTCGTTCCGCTCCTGCAGCAGGTTCTTGGTTTTCCGCCTTCTACTGGTCCTCCTCCTCCCTTAGAGTGTCCACAGCTTGTCCCGTCACAATTACAGTTACAGCCGGCCTCCCCTTTGCCTGCTCCTTCTCCCTACACTTGTCCTACTGGAGGTCTTGCTGAGCGTCGTGAGCCTGCGTCTTGCCCTGCGTCGCCTATCCGTGCTGCTCGCACTAGTGGTCGTGGTTTGCGTCAGCGTCCTCCTCCTCTCCCTAGCACGCACCGGATGTCTCTGCGTCCGTCCACTGCTCCTCTGCGTGCCCCTTTGCCTTCTCCTCCTGAGTCCTCTCTTCCTGCTCTTGCTGACCCGGATTCGGACTCTCTTCGTGCTGCCAGTCCTACTGTCACGCGTCTCCTTGCTACTGTCGTCACTGACCCTTCCTTTGAGTCCACTGCTGCGTGTGCCCTAGTTGCTGAGCTCGTCGAATTTTCTGCTCGCTGTCGCCTAGACTACGCTGCTAGTCTTGTCGCTGAGTCTGAGTCTGTCTGTCCTCCGTCCGTCGGGGGTGAGTGTGCCCTTGGCACGGACGTCCTTGAGGACAGGCAGGAGGAGTTCCAGTGTCTGGCTGCTGCTTCACCTCATCTCGTGTCCGTACTGCTTACCCCAGAGGGAGACCCGGATGCACTTGACATCCCGACTCCGCGCTCTTACGCGGAGGCGATAGAGGGTCCCTACTCCTCTCAGTGGCAGGCAGCTATGGACACAGAGATGGCTTCCTGGAAGTCCACAGGCACCTACGTTGACGAGGTTCCCACGCCTGGGGCGAACATTGTCAGTGGCATGTGGATTTTTAGGGTGAAGCGGCCGGCGGGTTCTCCGCCTGTCTTCAAGGCGCGTTACGTGGCTCGTGGCTTCAGTCAGCGGCAGGGAGTTGACTACTTTCATACCTTCTCTCCCACCCCGAAGATTACCACTCTTCGGGTACTACTGCACGTTGCTGCTCATCGTGACTACGAGCTGCACTCTCTTGACTTCAGCACAGCTTTCTTGCAGGGCAGCCTGCACGAGGAGATCTGGCTGCGCCGCCCACCTGGCTTCACTGGGTCGTTCCCTCCTGGTACCCAGTGGAGTCTCCAGCGTCCAGTCTACGGTCTCCGCCAGGCGCCCCGTGAGTGGCACGACACACTGAGGACTACTCTGGCGGCACTTGGGTTTGCTCCTTCTACTGCCGACCCGTCGCTGTTTCTGCGCACCGACACCTCTCTGCCGCTGTTCTACATCCTCGTGTACGTCGACGACTTGGTCTTTCCCACAGCTGACACTGCTGAACTCGCCTACGTGAAGTCCGAGCTGCAGAAGAGACATACGTGCACAGACCTAGGTGAACTGCGAAGCTACCTTGGCTTGCAGATCACCCGGGACAAAGCACGCCGCACCATTACCCTGACTCAGTCACACATGGTGCAGCAGGTCCTTCAGCGCTTCGGCTTCACGTACTCCTCGCCTCAGGCCACTCCTATGCCTACTCGCCACTCACTCTCAGCTCTGCCTTGAGATGAGTCCGTAGAGTCGAGTGGCCCATATCTAGAGCTTGTTGGCTGCCTCATGTACGTGATGACCTGCACACGACCTGACCTTGCATACCCTCTTAGCATTCTCGCACGCTATGTTGCTCCTGGGAGACACCAACCAGAGCACATGGCTGCAGCGAAGAGGGTGTTGCGCTACTTGTGCAGTACGTCGGGCATGGGGCTAGTGCTTGGAGGGCGGAGTCCAGTGGTCCTCACTGGGCATGCAGACGCTTCTTGGGCTGACGACCAGGCTACGCAGCGGTCGTCACAGGGTTACACCTTCAGCCCTGGTTCCGGCTCTGTTTCGTGACGGGCTACTCGCTCGTCTTCTGTTCTCGACTCCAGTTGTGAGGCTGAGATCTACGCAGGGGCCATGGCTGCACAGGAGCTTCGCTGGCTCACCTACCTGCTGACTTACCTCGGAGAGCCGCCTCGTTCTCCTCTAGTTCTGTACGTAGACAACAAGGCCATGCTGGCCTTGTGTCGAGAGCAGAGACTGGAGCACAGAACGAAGCACATTGCTCTCCGCTACTTCCTTGCTCGTGAGCTACAGTAGCGTGGTCAGTTGCGGCTTGCGTATGTGGCCTCTGAGGCCAACACTGCTGATGTCTTCACCAAGGCACTTGCGCCTTGTGATCATCAGCGCTTCTGCACTCAGCTGGGTCATGTGCCTGTCTTGCCTCACTTGCTCACCTCTTGACCTTGCTTGTACTGTTACATATATATATACCTGCTCTTGCTTGTCTAGCATTATATTTATATATATTTTTGTACTCCTGCATGTGAACTGGCCTTGTGGCCTTGAACTTGTGCTCGGAATGTGTGGTGACTTTGTGATCCACCGTGAGCTTGCTTTACTTTGCTTTGCTTGACTGGTCTTGTGACCCCCTGTTCTCCCCCACTTTGCCTATGGGGGTGTGTCAGAACATTGTAGCTTATACATATTATGTAGGCTGTAGTGGGGTATCCCATAGGGGGTACAACCCAATTAGGGTTAGTACTTGTACCCACTTGTTTCATAGTTCATTCATTCTCGTTTCTTCTCAAACTGTTCCTAGGGCCCACCGATTCGATTTTTTTTTCCTGCCCAGAGCGCGCTCAGCCCTTGCCCGAGTCGCGCTCCCCTTTCACGACCCTGTCGCGCCGCCCTAGCGGCTGTGTCGCGCCGCCCTTGCGGCCCCGATCCGCTGCCCTAGCGACCCCGTCGCCTATCCCTACGGCCCCGATCCGCCGCCCTAGCGGCCCCGTTGCCTACCCCGCGGCCCCGGCGCCGTCCTTCCCGGCCCCGATCCGCCGCCCTGCGACCCCGTCGCCTACCCCGCGGCCCTTGCGCCGCCCCTCCTGGCCCCGATCAGCCGCCCTGCAGCCCCGTCGCCTACCCCACGGCCCTGGTGCCGCCCTTCCCGGCCCCGATCCGCCGCCCAGCGGCCCTGTCGCCTACCCCGCGGCCCTGGCACCGCCCTTCCCGGCCCCGATCCGCCGCCCTGCGGCTTCGTCGCATACCCCGCGGCCCCGGTGCCGCCCTTCCCGGCCTTGACGCCGCCCTTCCCAACCCGGCCCCGCCTCCGCTGGCCCCGTCGCCTACCTGTAGTCCCGGCGCTGCCCTTCCCGGCCCCGTCGCCCACCTTTGCGGCCCCGGCGCCGCCTCTACTGGCCCCGCCGCCGTCCCCACGCGGCCCCGCCTTCACCACCGAGCCGACGGCGCCGCCGCCTGGCGCCGAGCCGCCCGAGCCGCCCGAGCCGCCGAGTTGCTGAGCCGCCCGAGCCGCCGAGTTGCCTAGCCGCCCGAGTCGCTGAGCCGCCCGAGCCGCCTGAGTCGCCCGAGCCGCCGATTCGCCTTAGCCGTCCGTGCCGCCAAGCCACCCTGTCCGGTAAGAACAGCGCCTCTATCTCTGCACTGCCCCTACCCTACTGTTCGCGCTGCTAGTCCACTGCAGTCATGGCTACCCCTAGTGTCCTCGCTTTTGACGCTGAGGGTCGAGCTATTGACTTTGACGTCTGGCTAGATGATCTGCAGCTTTTCCTACAGTGCGATAGGGCAGACGGTCTCTCCCTCTTTGACCTCACCTCTGGTGCCTCTCCTGCCCCTGCTGCTGATGCTGACGCCATTGTTCGCTCACATTGGGCCACATGCGATGCTGCTGCACGTCTTGCTGTGCGTCGCCACCTGCCTACCTCTGAGCGTGCGCACTTTAGTCAGTACAAGAGTGCTCAGACCTTGTACGACGCTGTAGTTGCACGCTACTCTTCCCCTGCCACTGCTGCACTGAGCCGCCTCATGCTACCGTACCTCTTCCCTGACCTTGCTGCCTTTCCCACAGTTGCTGACCTCATTATGCACCTCTGCACTAGTGACACTCGCTACCGCGCTACGCTTCCTGCTTAGTTCTGCGCCAAGAACCCTCCCCCCATGTACATCACCCTCTTGTCACCCGGCTCCCTGACTCTCTTCGCGTAGTCAGGGACCACTTCCTCTCAGTTTGCCCCACCACTCTCACCGTTGACCTCCTCGAGAAGGCCCTCCTAGCAGCAGAGAAGAGCATAGTCGCTGTAGGAGCCTTTCGTGGTGACCCTCGCACCCCCGTCTTTGAGGGGTGTTCCCCCTCCCCCCTCCTGCCCTTTGTTGCCTCTGCTGCTGCGGCCGACCTCGTTGGTTTCGAGTCGGTCGGCGCTGCGTCTACCCCGAGCGGAAGACGCCGCACCGGCAAGGGCAAGGGGGGCAAGAGCGCTGGAGTGGCTGGCGGGGGTGGCGGAGGTGGC